TGCGGCCGACATGGCTGACCCGAGTTTGATTCCTCCGGCCCTCTCAGAGGGACTGGCAAGCTACCAAGAGTATCTCGCCTGCACGGCAAAGCCTGGCAAGCTATATACCCGTGACGTATATACCCGTGACATATTTGACATGCCAAACACAGTAACAAGTGTCACAATAGAGACGTTACTGGGTCTGCTCAAGCAAATCGATGAATGACGGGAGGACAGTGACAGTGACAGATTAAACAGGCCACAGTAAATTTTAAAAGAACAAAATACTTAAAAGTGTTTATTAATAACAGTGGAATTAAATGAAAAAATAATAATAGAAAAAGTTTGGCGAAGTCCCAGGTATTTGGGAGCGAGATAATACACTTCCAGATATCCCAGGGAGGCAGGAAAGACCCTATGTAGATAGGAGAAAGTATTTTGAATGGAATGCAAATGAAATCACAAAATTAAAAGTTTTGTGACTTCTAGCTAGAGTGCTTCTCAGATGGTGATTTATTATAGCAAGTGCCTGCATTAACAATGGAGGAAATCTCAAATCAATAATCTCAGTTTCCACTTCATGCCACAAGAAAAGGCAGCGCAAATTCAACCGAAAATAAGCAAAAAGAAAGGCGATAAGGGTGAAAGTAGAAATAATTGAGATGGAAATGCAATAGAGAAAAATCATTGAGACCAAAAGCTGGTTCTTTGAGATAAGCAGAAGTGATAAATCTTTAGGCAGCAATAAAAGAAAAAAGATACAAATTACCAATATTAGGAAGAGAAATGATTTAATAATAATTATAGAGCTATTAAAAGGGGGACATTATGGTAATATTAATGATCAACTTTATGCCAATGAATTCTACAACTTAGATGACATAAATTAAACCCAAATAAAGCTCACTTGCAAAGATTCAGATAACTCCTACTCCCCCTGCATTTATGAGAGAAATAGAATTCTTAGTTAAACTTAGAATTCATAGTTCCCACTAAGCTAACTCCACGTGACTTCACTGGGGACTTCTACCAAACTTTTAATGAGTAAATAATGCCGATTTCTTATGGGTTAAAATGTGTGTCTGTAGCTTTGAACTCCTAACTGCCCAGTGTGTCTTTCTCTTTATGTGGGTCTCTTTATGAGACCTTTATAGAGAAGAGCAACTGAAAAGGCGGACGGGCCGATGGAGTGGGCTCTGGTCCAGTGGGAGGCAAGCAGCTATGAGAACTGTACATGGTGTCGTCACTCATGGCCCTCGAGTGACCAGCTCGACCAGTGTCTTGATTCTAGACTTTCCCCAGAATCAGAGGACAGGACATGTCTACTGTTTAAGCACTTTTTAGTGGCAGTTCAAGGTGATTTACAGTTCTCTGTGGATTCTTCCAGAGGAAAAACACACCGCATCTCATTCTGTAAGAATCTGGTACCAGACCAAGAAAGGCACCGTGACAGATCATTATCTCTCCCACGCACACGCACAAAAGCTGTAACTGTCTGTTGGCGCATCAACCCAACTCTGGTTAGTTTATTGAATATATCATGACCAAGTGATACCTGTCTCAGGAATGCATGCTTGGTCTAGTATTTGAAAAAAAATCAATGTAATCCAGCATGTTAGCGAGTTATAGAAAAGAAAAAAAAATCCCTATAATCATGTCAGGATACAGAAATAGCATTTGGCAGTAACCAACAATTACTCTTGGTAAGGTCTTTAGGGACTGAGGATATGGCTCATGGGGCAGACATGTGTGAGCCCTGTGTTTCATCCGCAGCCTCTGTGGCCCCAAAACGTTGCTGGTGTTCTTCTGGTGGCCTCTGAGAATCTCCCCTGCACCCCCTGCCTCAGCACCTCTGGCCGTGATCCCTTTTAAAAATTCTGCAGTGATGGGGCTGGAGTGATAGTACAGGGGAAAGGAAGCTTGCCTTGCATGTGACTGACCCTGGGTTCAATCCCTGGAACTACATATGTTTCCTCGAGCACCACCTGGAGTGATCCCTGAGCACAGAGCCAGGAGTAAGCCCTGAGCACCCTGGTTGTGATCCATATTAAAATTTGTAGCTCATTCTCTATCCTCAGATTTTCTAACATCTCAGCCTGATTCTCGGCTCACCCATATTTCAACCTGAGATGGTCTCTCTCTCTCTCTCTCTCTCTCTCTCTCTCTCTCCTCCTCCTCCTCCTCCTCCTCCTCTCCCTTCATCCCTCCCTCCCCCTCTCTCTTTCTCTCCCTTGCCCTCTTTCTCTCTCTCTCTGTCTCTCTCTCACTCCATATTTCTCTGAAACTGTTTACTTTCAAAAACTTTCTGCAAATGAGACATCAAAGGGAATTTTCTTAACCTGCTGACCGCACTGCCACCCCTTGCCACTCACTTGGATTGTGGCTTAACGAACATAAATCACAACACGGTGTCAGCCTGTTAAATTGATGAGTGACCCTTATGGCTGTCTTCTCCGGAAGCTCAGGAGAAGGCACGGGTGGACCACTCGTCCAGCCCTGAGCAGCACAGAAGCAGGAAATGCCTGTGGGTGGGCGGGAGCAGGTGGGTCTCTGCTCGCAGGCCCAGTTGCCTAGGTCGAAAGTCCTGTGTTTATTAGACCCAAAGCCAAATGGCTTCTAGAACCAACGGTTTAACCGGAGTGCAGAATCCTAAGTCAGTGTACAAAAATTACTGTTATTTCTGCATACTAGAAATGAGGGCCCAGTAACGTCTCCATTGGAGACTTTGTTGTTACTGTGTTTGGCATATGGGGGCTGGAGCGATAGCACAGCGGGTAGGGCGTTCGCCTTACAAGCGGCCAACACGGCCGACCCGAGTTCGATTCCTCCGCCCCTCTCGGAGAGCCCGGCAAGCTACCGAGAGTATTCGATATGCCAGACACAGTAACAACAAAGTCTCCAATGGAGACGTTACTGGGCCCGCTCGAGCAAATCGATGATCAACGGGAGGGCCTTATATATTATATTAGAAATGAGGAGTCTTCTATTTAAAAGTCAAAACCATTTACAGGACCATCAGAACATGAAGTAACTAGAGATAAATTTGACAAAAGATGCGCAGGGGCCGGAGACATAGTTAGGAGTCACGGCACCTCTCTGTGTGTGATCAATCGCTTCCGTCCCCTGAGCACTGCCAGGAGTGATCCTTGAGCACAGAGTCAGGAGTTGGAAGTCCTGAGCACAGCTGGGTGTGACCCAAACCTCCCCCCAAAGCCCCAGATGAAAAACAGGCACATTTTTTTTTCCTGCTACAAACTATAGGCTTGCAGATGGGGCCAGGAGCTTCCCTGCTTTGCTTGGTCTCTCAAGCCAGTGTCCCTGGTCAGCTCGGCCAGCTTGACTCTCACAAGCTCTGAGGGACCCCCAGAACTCCAAGGCTCATGGGGTGGCGTCTCGGGCACCGGCCAAGGGGTGTCTGCGGAGCTGGGGGCTGGTTGGTCTCCTCCAGCACGATGTCCAGGGCCGAGAGGTGGCCAGGTGCCACGATCCAGGTGCTGGTGGGGGACTCTTGTTTTCTTCCGTTTCTCTTCTAACGCTGTGGCTGAAACAGGAAGTCTCCTGCCGAGAGCAGGCACGGAAACGCAGCGAATAGGGCATGACCACGGGACTGTATGTTTTGTCCTGTTCTGTTGCCCACGTAGAATGGTGACAGCAGGCCTGAGCATTTGACAGGAGACTTGAGTCCTGGTGGCTGGGAAGGCGGGATGGGAGCTCTGGCTGCTCCACTGACAAAGGCCCGCATGTCCCGTGGCACGGGGTTCGGGAATTCATCTTTAAGCCCTGGCCGTGGACATTGAGCTCAGTTAGGGAGAGCCATCAGCATCCTGGGTGCTCGGGGCAGCGGCGGATGGATGGGCGGCCCGTATCCATCCCAGCGCCATCCTTGCGCGTCTTTATCACCTTGGAGGGGAATCATTGGACAATTTACAGATTGAGGCATGTCCTGTGTTTCCGAGATTGTTCCTGTGTGGTTCAGGACAAGGAATAGGAATTCCTGGCCAAGAATCCCGACTTCCTGCCGTGCGACTTGGGCCTGGTGCTGGGGTTTTAGCCTTCCTCCTCCGCACTTTCCCCTCCACCTCCTGGCTCCTGACTTCTTCCTCCTCCTCTTCTCCTGTCCTCCTCTTCCCCCTCTTGGTCTTCTCTGTCCTTCCCTCCCTCCCTCTCCTCCTTCCGCCACCCCTTCGCCTTTTCTTTCTTCTCTTTATCTCTTCCCTCTCCTTCCTCTGTCTTTTTTTTTCTTTTTGGGTCACACCTGGCAATGCACAGGGATCACTCCTGGGTCTGCACTCAGGAATTACCCCTGGTGGTACTCAGGGGGATACGAGATGCTGGGATTCGAACCCGGGTCGGCCGCGTGCAAAGCAAACACCCTACCTGCTGTGCTAGTGCTCCAGCCCCTCCTTCCTCTATCTTTATTCTGGTCTTCTGTTACTATCTCCCTCACCCGCTTTCCCCCATTTCCCAGTCTCTGAGCCACTGGTCGGGCGTTGTGGGGGCAGGACCTTCTTCCTGGGGGGTCAGAGGCAGATGCTTTGGGGAGTCTGCCAGGCCAGGTCACTTTGGGCTCCAGCTCCCTGGCCTTGTGAGGTTTCCTGGGAGTCAGTGTGAAGCTGATCTAGCACCCCTGGGGCCTGAAGAGTATCTCGGACACCATTCCCTGAGCACAGGGCATCCTGCGCCAGCCTGGTGCCCACACCGTGGTTGTGACGTCGAGAAGCTTCTCTTCTAGAAGGCTGGCCTGCTCACCCACGGGAGTGTTTGCTCTTCTCCCAGCAGGGCTGACCGTGGGCTTCTCGGGGGCACTTGGGAGCTGGCCTGGCCAGTGTGGCCTCCAGCCCAGACTCAGACAGTCCATCTCCCGGGGCCAGAGTGAGCAGATGCCCGGGCTGGCGGGCGAGGCCCTGCCGTGGTCTCCCCGCTGCCCAGGAGCCGGGGGGCGATGAGGGGTGCCTTTCCCCTGCACGGGCAGGCGGGGGCTCAGCCGCTGGTGACAGCCGGTGCCTTTTGCCTTGTAGGTGTGGGACGCCGTGGACACGGGCAGCTGCCTGCAGACTTACTCTCTGCACAGTGAGGCGGTGCGGGCCGCCCGCTGGTCTCCCTGTGGCCGGCGCATCCTCAGCGGCGGCTTCGATTTCACCGTGCACCTCACAGACCTGGAGACAGGTGAGGCGCCCTCTCCCGAGTGGCAGCTGGGGGGGCCTCCTGGCGGCGGTGGGGGGCCCAGGGCGGGGCTGAGGGGGTCACGGCCGAGGACAGGCTCCTGTCTGCTGCGTGTTTCTCGTCCCCAGGACCAGGACTGTCCAGGTGAGGTTCCAGGGGGATCTCGGCCAGTTCCAGCCTGGGGCAGCACTCCAAGGGGGCAGGCGGCCGAGGCAGCTTTCCCCTCAACCTGTGATGTGCACTTTGTACCTAAGGACATTTGGCTTCACAGTGGCCTTTGGCAGGGACAGTCTTGAAGTCTCGTCGGCGTTGTTGTTAAAAGGCTCTGATGAACAGCTTCTAACCCGCTCTGCCCCCTGTCATGTCAGGAGGCATTTGGGGAAGGCGGAGCTGCACGGAGTGCACCCCCGGGGGGCTCCAGCAGGGAGAGGAGGGGAGCCACCAGGGGAAGGAGCGTCCTGTCCCCAGGGGACTGGCCTCTCGGGCCCACCGGGGGCCTTGGGGCAAGGCAGGGTGGAACACGGAGCCCAGTTCTGGCCTTAGCCTCTGACCCAGCTGGGTTTCCGTCAGCCCCCAGCTCGGTGGCTTTGGGGTGGCCCCTGCAGGGGGGCTTGGGTGCAGCTGGCTTTCTGGCCTCTCATGTCTCCCACTGTTCCTGGAGATCATGGAATGGTCACGCGTGATCCTCGTGGGGGGGTGTCTCGCTGCCCAGACCCAGGTCACTGCTGGCATCCAGCATGCCTCCACGGGGCCCCTCTGTGGTCAGTGTGGCTGACCCCTGTTTCCAGTGAGCCACCTAACCCAGCCAGGGGCCTTGTGGCTGAACATATGCTGGGCAGCTGAGCTAGACCGGGGGATGCGGGGACGTCAGGACCTCGGCATGCTTGGCCTTCTGCAGCCCTCCAGTGTCCACTCTTGTGGGCAGTGCCCCTAGAGCATCTCTGCACAATTCCGGGAGCATCGCAGGAGGCACAGAGCCAGGCTGCACACAGACGTGCAGTTCCAGGTCTCACCTGACACTCTCGTGCTCGCCTGGCCAGTAAAGCAGGCGTTTGGAGACAGAGATGCCCACGTCTGCTCAGGAGACACAAAGACAGAGTTTCCTGGTGCAGTGCTGGGACTGGGGGGGGGTGTCGTGATACGGGTAAGATGCAGACACTAGGTTTTCCCTAGCCTGAGAGCTCCAGGAAGACTTCCTGGGGAAGTGAAACCCAAGCTGAGGCAGGAGTTAGGTGCACTGAGTCAATAGAGGGACCGTTCTTGATGCAGAGGGTGGTTCTCAGTAGGATGGGGCACCGAGAACATAGCTGAACTGCACGGTGTGTGGGGGAGTGTGGGAAGCCGGGGAGGTGAGCTGGGGGCACAGGAATTGGAGCTTCCTGTGTTCTCCAGGGACTGCCCAGACTGAGTGGCTGAGATCTGCCTGGAGCGAATCCAGTGCAAGCTCATTGGAGAGCAGGGCTGGGTACCATCCATCTCCCTGGGCCCGGTGGAATCAGATGCAGGGCAGTGTGTGTGTAAATGTGTGCCTGTGTGTGTGTGTGTGTATACAAGTGCATATGTGTGTGTGTATGTATGAGTCTTCTCTAAGAGTGGATATGTGTGTTTGTGGTTGTGTTTGTATATAATAAATGTGTGTTTTGCGTCTGTGTATGTGTAAGAGTATGCATGTGTATGTGCATATGCATGTACATATGAGTGTGTATGTGTGCATGAGTGTGGTATGTAAGAGTGTATTTGTGTATGTATGGAAAAGTGAGTTGAGTGCATATGTGAGCATATGTATGTATGAAAGTGTGTTTTACGTAAGAGTGTATTTGTGTGCGTATGACTGTGTGTATGTGAACATGCTTGTGTATTATGTAAGAGTGTATGTGTGTAAAAGTGTTATGAGTTGTATGAGCATAGATGTATGTATATGTTTTGTGTAAGAGTATATTTGCGTGTATATAAGAGTGCATGAGTGAATATGTGACCATGATTGTGTGCATATTTTTATGTAAGAGTGTACTTGTGTTAGAGTATGTGTGTATATGAGTTCGTATGTGAGAATGAATGTATATTTTATGTAATCATGTATCTGTGTTTATATGTGAGAATGTGTATGAGCATATACATGATCGTGAGTATACATGCATGTTTTATGTAAGCATGTATCTGTAGATGTATGTGTGCATGAGTGTTTTTTTGTAAGCATGTCTCATTGTGTATGTGTGTACATGAGCATGAATTTGCATATGTTTTATGTAAGTGTATCTGTGTGTGAGTGTGTATGAGTATGTACGTGATCATGAGTCTGCATGCATGTTTTATGTAGTGTGTATCTGTTTGTGTATGTGTGCATGCATGTTTTATGTAAGTGTGTTTTGTTAAGCATGTAGCTATGTGTACGTGAGAGTGTGTGTGAGTATGCCAGTGAGCATGAATGTGTGCATTTTTACGTAAGAGTGTATTTGTGTGTATGGAAGAGTGTAGGAATGTGTATGAAAGCATGAGTGTATATGTTTTATGTAAGCATGTATATGAGTGTGTGTATTAGTGCATATGTGAGCATAAGTGTGTATGTATATTTTATGTAAGCATGTATTTGTGTGTGTATGAGTGTGAGCATGAGTGTATGTTTTATGTAAACATGTATTTGTGTATGTGTGAGCATGTATTTGTGTATATGTGAAAGTGTATGTGTGCATACGTGAGCATGAGTGTATGTTTTATGTAAACATATATTTGTGTGTATGTGAGCGTGTGTTTGTGTATATGTGAAAGTATGTGTGCATACATGAGCATGAGTGTGTGTATGTTTTTTGTAAGCATGTATTTCTGTGTGTATTTATATTTGAGAGTATATATGTGCATATGTGAGCATGAGTGCATGTATGTTTTATAAGCATGTATTTGTATGTGTTTTATGTAAGCATGTATTTGTGTGTATGAGTGTGAATGTATCGGGCTGGAGCGACAGCACAGCGGTAGGGCGTTTGCCTTGCACGCAGCTGGCCAGGCCAAGTTGGGTTCGATTCCTGTGCTCCTCTTGGAGAGCCTAGCAAGCTACCGAGAGTATCTCACCCACATGGCAAAGCCTGGCAAGCTCCCCGTGACATATTCAATATACCAAACACAGTGACAACAAGTCTCACGATGGAGACGTTACTGGGCCCGCTCGAGCAAATTGATGAGCAACGGGAGGACAGTGCTACGGTGCAGTGCCACAGTGAGTGTATATTAAGCATGAGTAGGTATGTATTATGTAAGTGTATGTGTGTGTGTGTGTGTGCATGTGAGCATGAGGTGCACGTATGTTTTATGTAAACATGTATTTGTGAGTATGAGTGCATGTGTGTTTTATGTAAGTGTGTGTTTGTGTATGAGCACATACGGGAGAATGCATGTTGTATATAAGCATGTGTGTGTGTGTGTGTGTGTGTGTGTGTGTGTGTGTCTGTGTCTTTATGCGGGTGTTGGGGACGCGTCACTAGATGGCAGTGGGGCTGCTGCTCTGGTACAGAGACCGTGCTGCGTGGCGTTGGGGCCCAGGTCCCTGGTTGCTCCTAGCAGGCGTGGGTGGGGCTGGTGGCACCTGAGTGGAGACTGCAGGTCCATCCCAATGGCGGCGCTGGGGCCAGGCTGCCCTTCTCCCCAGGGGAGGTGTACCAGAAGTACATGACCTTTGCCCTCCTGAGCTTGGCCATCCAGTTGGGGAGGTGACACGGAGGATTTCCTCTGCACACGTTGCTGGGACTGTGATCAGCATGTGGTTCAACCACTGGAAGGCTCTTCATTCATTCACTCATTCATTCAATCACTCATTCCTTGGTTCCTATCAAGGACCTCCTTGGGGGTCAGGCAGGGCCCATTGCTGGGACAAGACTGTCCCTTTGGGGAGCCATCCAGCCCCTGGGGAGGCCTCTCCTGCTGAGTGCACTGTGACTGGCTACTGTGGGGGCCCCCTGGCCAGTGTGAGGGCTCCTGGGCCTGCCCCTTGGTCTCCATGACTCCCTTAGCCATGCACACGGCTGGAAGTAGCTGCTCTGTGAGGGGGACAAGACAGAACCAGCCACCCTCCCCGCCCGCCCCCTCCTGCCGTGCACTCCCCCTGGGCTGTGGGGAGCTCCCCATGTCTTGGTCAGCTCCGAATCCTAGCCTGGCTAAGGCTAGGTGGGCTTGTGCGGCCCCGAGGGCTCGTCCTGGTTTGACTTATCTTGTCCTTTCTCAGCCCGGCGTCTGCGCTCTCTTTTCTGCCCTTGGTGATCTGGCTTTTTCATTTCAATCTAATTAGAGCTCCCTGCTGGGGAAGGCAGCGTGGGGCATTCTCACGGCAGCGCTCTGGGAATTAGTCGCTCGGTGGCCATTGTCGTTAATGGGAATTTGGCGCCAAGGCCATTTATCCTGGTGTCCTCAATCAATACAGTTTAAAATCCGTGGATTCGGAGCCGTCAATACCAGCCTGAAATATGGAGGGCCAGCGCCACTTTATCTCGTTAATTTATAGTTCTGACGGGCTGTTGGGTTAGGGAAGAGCCATGAATCAACGCTTAAATAAAATCTGCTCACAGATTAATTCTTTTCGGCGCTCCTGTTTCAGTCTGTAATCTTCCTCACGGAGCGTCTCTGGTGCATTGGGCCATGGCGGCGTGGGGGCCACCAGTCCCCTCTGTGGATCCCGGCACCCCCACCCGGGCCCTCATCCCTAGACGGGAGGGCTTCAGGGCCGGGTGGCTGCAAACGCAGTGCTCCTCCCCCTAGGCCCTCAGCCCTGACCAAGCAGGGCCCACCATCCCCCTTCCTGGGCTTTGGTCTGCTTCTCTCTGTGTGGCCTGCCCAGGACATCAGTGCAGGAACTCCCCCCCCCCACCCCAGAGGACCCCACAGATGCCCCTGTTGCGGCCAAGTGTGAGGAGAGGCTCAGATGGGAGAAGCCACTTCAGTTGGTGTTGGTGCTCTCGCAGCTGGCGGTGGTGCTCCCGAGGCAGGCTGTGGTGCTCCCCTGACTGGCTGTGATACTCCCGCAGCAAACTTTGCTGCTTCCCTGGCAGGCTGTGGTGCTCCTACGGCAGGCTGCGGTGCTCCCTCGGCTGGCTGTGGTGCTCCCACGGCAGACTGTGGTGCTCCCACTTGGTGGCAGCACCTGCAGGGATAGCTCAGCTGGAAGCTGTTATTGAAACTAGAGGTGAAGACCCTCAGCCAGCCCCTCTCGCTCCTTGGACAGTGCCGAGATCCTTCTATAGCCCGTGTCCAGCCCATCCTCTTGTGCTGAGGCCAGGCTGGCCCTTGGGTTAGGTAAAGGTTAGTCCTGGTGCCATCTGCCTGTCTGTCCGTCCGTCCACCTGTTCCTGCTGTGTTTCCCTTCCTCATGTCTGTGCCTTTGTAGGCCCGGTGCTCCCTGGGCCGGCCTGGGATCTGAGCGAGCGCTTGGGGACCTCCCGCCCCAGCCTCGAGCCCCGTGTGGCCATGGCATCTGTGTCCTGGGCCCCCCGCCTGCCCGCCCCCCCCCCCCCACCCGCCTCGTGTGCTGGTTCTCACGCTCCCCTCCTCACCCGGCTGAGATGGTCCCGTTGTCTGGCTCCCGGGGACTCATCTGAAAGTTGGTAAGCTCCTTTCCTCACGAGCTTTGAGTCAGGGTGGCTGGATTTACAGCTGGCTGAATCCTTCCCAGAGGGCGAGTGTGACAGATTGATCCCAGTGCCATGAGTCACAGGCCGCCTGCCTGGGGCACAGCCTCGGCCTCCCGTCCTCACTGTCCCTGCGTGGCCGTGACCAGAGCCCAGGAGAAACAAGGTCACAGAGAGCCTGTGGGCTGGCGAGGTGGGGCGTGGGGCCCCAGCCCCTTTCCCCAGGAGCCATGTCCTCGCGATACCCAGCTGTAAAGTGGGCCTGGGGGTATCGGGCGCCATCTTCCTCCCGAGGTTGCCAGCCTGCCGGGTGTTTCTGTACCTGTGCAGATGCCCGCGTGTTCCCGGCTGAGGGAAGAAGGGCCCCTCTGCAACCCAACCCTGATTTGTGGATGCTCCCAGGGCAGTGATGACTCCGCCCGAGACAGAAAAGGGGTGCGGGGGCTCTGAGAAGTCCCTGGTAGGCACCCCCCAGTGACTTGTCGCAGCGACAGTGGAATGGGGAGGACGCCCTGTCGTGACAACGGTGCCACAAGAACAAATGCCTTGCCCGCACGCAGCTAGCAGTGTGCTTTTGCTTTCATGATGATTCAGAGCTTTTGTGTGTCCTTATTGACGCACGAAGGGAAAGAAACGGTTCCCCCCAATGCTAAGGGGGCCCCGCGGGGTCCTTATCACAGTGGAGTTTGCTGTACCCCACTCATTACGGAGCTATGTTTGTGGCTTCAATATTTGAAAGCTCTCTCTCTCAGAAGCAGCGCACAGTGAATAAGTAGAATTTTCGAATTTTCCGTAATGATCATAAGCAGGCTGCGAGTCTCGTGGCCGAAGGCAGCGAGACAGCCATCGAGGGCCAGGCGGAGTCGCTGCGGGGGACGCGAGTGTCAGAGGGGCACGGATGGGAGGATGGGAGGACAAAGGCCTCCTGCCCTGCCCCTCCCGAGGCTACTCCTGGGCCATTTTCCCTGAGCTGTGGCTCAGCGACACCCACACTCGCCTCTCACGGTTCCTGGCCCTGGGTCGCCCCTGGGTGCCTTCTGGCAGAGCTGGGAAGAGCATTTTCTTCTGATCACTCACAGCTGTCTCTGTCTCTCTGTCTCTGTGTCTCTCTGTCTCTGTCTGTCTCTCTCTCTCCTCCCGGTGCTGGGTTCACTGTACCAGACCGCAGGTGCCTGCCGACGCCCTCAGTTAAGGGGTGTGAGAGCCGACAGGAAGAAGGGGCAGAGGCGGAGGGGCAGCGGGCACCGCTCCCCCTGACGGGTGGCTCTGGTCTGGCGGCCGTCTGCTGGCTGGGGAGGGTGGCGGGGCCCAGGCCTAGATGCAGCCCTGCCGCCGGCTCCTCAGGGGGTTCCTTCTTTCTCGGGACATCGCATTGTGTCCACGTTCTGGAGTTACACCGCCACGCATGAGGGAGAGGAGTAACTGCTCCCCCCAAAATCGGTGCTCTGCTCTCAGGGTCACTCCTGGTGGTAGCTTGGGGGACCACGTGGGGTGTCGGGGTTGAACCCGGGTCAGCCGCATGCAGGGGGAGAGCCCTCCCCGCTGTGCAATCTCGCCACCCCCTGTTGTCACGGATTGCCCAAACCAGTGTGAATGTCAGTGTCGCTTATGAACACTCTGGTCTCTGCACCCCGACCTGGGAGCTGGAACCTTTCCGTCAGCTTTAGAACCCGTCACACCAGCCCTTGGCTGCATTTGGAATCGGGTTGTTGAGAATGCAGGAGATCTGCAGGGGCAGCCGGAGGTGCTGGCGCCCTGGGCATCTGTGGTGGACAGAGGGAGCCCCCCCCCCAGGAGTGCCCTCTGCCCCCTGCAGTGCTGGAAGGAGCTGGGTCACCTCCTGTGCTGGGAAGCAGGTCAGGCCCCACCCCTGCCCTTCCCCCTGTGTTTGTCAAGATGGGGGGTTTTCAGTACGATAGCCCTACATTTCCTGTGCCCACTAGAGAGCCCACTTCCCTCCCACAAGTGTCCCTGGGCCCTCCCAACCCCCTCCCACGCGAACCCAGTTTTCTAGACAGAATTTGCAGTTCTCATGACTTCAGTCACTTCCCCCCTTACTATCTGCATTTCACACATGTAAAAGCTACTTGAAAAACTTGTGTATGAGGGGCTGGAGTGATAGCACGGCGGTCAGGGCGTTTGCATTGCATGCGGCCAACCCAGGTTCGACTCCCAGCATTCCATACGGCCCCCCGAGCACCACCAGGAGTAATTCCTGAGTGCAAAGCCAGGAGTAAACCCTGTACATCGCTGGGTGTGGCCCCCAAAATAAAAAAAAAAAACACAACAAAACCCACTGCCCCATTCTCCCATCCCATACAGAGGAGGGAGGCGGTCCAGTCCTGTCCTGGCTGGGCGCAGAGAGGTGGCTGACGTCCTGCTCTTGTAAAGGACTCAGTCAAAACCCCTCTGAGATGCTGGTTCTCTGCTTTGGGCCACACCTGGCAGTGCTCAGGGTTCACTCCCGGCGGGGCTCGGGTGACCATGTGGGATGCCAGAGATTGAACCCGGGTTGGCGGCGTACAGGGCATGTGCTTTCCCCTCGTCTCGTTCCTCCTGGGAACGTGTCTCTCGGCCGGGCACTCACACGTGGACCCGCGGCCTGACCTGCGTGTGGGTCCTGTGGCTCTGCACCTGCAAAGGGCCGGCTGTCGCGTGGCTCTCGCCCTGACGGATGGCTTTCATTTCCTCGCCGCTCGCCGCTCCAGGGTTCAGGGCTGCGCGGGCGGGTCCTGGCAGCCGGGGCAGCGTGGGGGCAGCAGCGAGGCGTGGATCGGGAGGTCCTCCCTCCTGGGTCCCCCTTCCCCACGGCCGAGGTCTGAGCTGTCGTGCACGAAGGCCGTTCCCCCACGCTTGTGTCATGTCCTTAGGGAGGATAGGGAGGATCCTTGGGGTGATGGCTACAGCCTTGATGGTGATGGCAGAAGACCAGGTGCCGTCCAGCCCTTGGAACCCGTGAGACGCTGACGCGTCTGTTCCACCCCGTGCACCCACGTCCGGGCCAGCAGCCCCCCTGCACTCGCGTGACCCCCTTGTGATCCAGGAGTGAGGGCCAGACGGCGGACCCCAGGCCGTCCTTCTGTTGCTCGGAGCCCCCCAGAGCAGTGTCCGCGTGGGCCTGGACTGGTCACTGCCCTGAGCCCTGCTTTCCTGCCTGCTGAGAAGGGGCACGGGCGCTTGTGTTAGGGGCCTGCAGAAGGGGGCGACACCATTGCTCGGGCCCCGGCCTGGGGGCTCTGTAACCAAGTAGGGGATGGTCCCAGAGTGAGCACAAGTGCTGTTTCTCTCCAGGGTGGGAGTGCCCAGGGGCCAGCCCGGGCCCCCGGCACTGAGAGGCCGGTTTCCGTGCGCTCGCAGCACCAGGCCTCGCTCTCCGACCGTCTGACCGCTCTCCCACGTCTGTTTCAGGAGCCCAGTTGCTTACCGGTCGGAGTGACTTCCGTGTCACCGCCTTGAAGTTTCACCCCAAAGAGCCCAGCGTCTTCGTGTGTGGGGGCTTCAGCTCTGAGATCAAAGCCTGGGATGTGCGGATTGGCAAGGTAGGCCCCGTGGGCGCGCCCTGCTCCACTTGCCTGTGGGGGACCGCCGGGAAGTGGCCAGGGACCCCTCCTGACCCCGTGTCCCAGGCTGGAGCCTGGCTTCCGGCCGCCTCATCCCCCTCAGCCCTGAGCCCCCCAGGCCCGCGCTCACCTTCCCTCTGCGCTGACGAGTCTCCAAGCGCAGAGGAGGAAGGCCTGGGGGGGCCTTGTCCCCTGTCTCTGCCACCCCTGGTGCCTGCACCCGGTGGGGGGTGGCGGTGTGGGGGAGGGAAGGGGAGAGGCAGGGCTGCATTCAGCGAGACAGAGCCAGTGCTCCCAGCTCGTGCTGGGGTGGTGCTGTGCTCCCTCAGGGTGCCCCCAGTGGAGTGAGTGCTCCCCGGCTTCAGAGCTGCTCAGTGCTCATCCACAGAAAAGCCATTTATTTTCCCTCCCTACCCTCAGCCTGCCGTCCGTCGCTGTGCCTTTCCCCACTCAGCATGACACGTGGCAGCTCCTGGCCCCTGGGGGCTTGGTCCAGCCTGGGGGTCCTCCTTGCTTCATTCTTTCCCAGGCTTCCGGCCCCACCGTCATCTCCATTGCACCCCGTGGCCCCTTCCTGCAGGGCATCCCCTCACAGCTTCCGGGGTGGCGCCCTCCTGCTGGGTACTGCTCCGTCCATGCCCCTCCGGCTCTCCTGTCCCCCCAGCCAGTGTCCCCAAGTGGCCGCAAGACCCTGGGATCCTCCTGCACCCCCTTGACAGGAGCACCACCTCCTCTTCTTGGGGCAGCTCTGACAGCCTCTCCTGCAGGGCTGCCCACCCCTGGCTCAGGGTCCTCCCCGCCCTGCACCTTCCCTGCCCTTGCAGGTGGCATGGCTCAGCCAGGTGCCCACTTCTCCCCTCCCTCTGGAGGGGGCATTTCTCTCTGCTCTCACCTCACCTTGATCTGGGCCTGGTGCCAGGGACACTAGCACTTAGCTTACACTCAAGGAGAGGAGGTACCCGAGGTGGGGGAGAGACAAGCACTCAGGGGAAGGAGACACAGAGGTGGGAGAGGAGAGGTGAGCACTCAAAGAGGAGGTGAGGGAGGAGAGGGGAGCACTCAGGAGGTGAGGGAGGTGGTGCTTGGTGGTGGGTGTGTGGCACAGGTGCTGGTCGAAGCCTTCAGTGCCACGGTTTCCGGTCTGAATTGGCGATGAGGAACCCTGGGAAATGTCTGGGCCAGGGCACCAGGGGCACCAGGGTCCGGCTGGAAGAGGAACTCAGGGTCAGACCTGAGCAGACCCTCAGTATGGGACAGGGGCACAGCCAGTGGGACAGCCTCAGCTTGCCCTGCAAGAAGAGATGTGGGTGGATGCCAGTGTGCCGTTTCCTGTCTGGGGGTGGGTCTGGGGCCCCTGCTCTTTGCTGTGTCAGAGGCTCTCAGGGACCCGCACAGGGCCATGTCCCATGGTCTGCCGTGTGTGTGTGTGTGTGTGTGTGTGTGTGTGTGTGTGTGTGCGCGCGCGCACACCATCTGCAGAGTGCTTTCCCCACCCATGCTACCAGCAGGGTTGCTTGCTCTTTTTTTTTTTTTTTTTTTTGCTTTTTGGGCCTCACCTGACGCTGCTCAGAGGTTACGCCTGGCTCTGCACTCAGAAATTACTCCTTGCGTTACTCGGGGGACCTTATGGGATGCCGGGGACCGAACCAGGTTCAGCTGCGTGCAGGGCAAACACCTTCCCCTCTCTACTACTGCTCCAGCTCCCAGCGGGGCTGCTGGGCTTCTGAGGGGCCCCCCAGCCTCTGCTTTCTTAGTAAAGGGTTCCCTGGGTAGCACCAGTCAGCAAAAAAAGTAAGTGCACTTAAAAATAAAATCACTCTTTTGGTTGGGGGTGTTTGCGCCACACCTGACGGGAGTCAGGACTACTCTCGACTCCCGGTGGGCTCAGGGGACCCTTTGGGGTTCTGGTGATCGAACCCAGATTAGCCATGCGCAAGGCCGGTGCCCTCCCCCCTGTGTCTTCTCCCCAACCTCCCCCCTTCCTCCCCATCACACTCCCATATACAGTGAAACTTCGCTTTTGTGGAACTACACGGATGAGTTGTGGTCACGCTGGGACTCTAGGACAGGATCAGTCTGGGGCCAGTGGGGGTCTGTGGCAGACCCTCCAGGGAAGGAGCTGGAGCCCAGAGTGGGTGAGCGTCACCAGCTGCCCAGTTCCACGGATGCAGTTGGGAGCAGATGTCACTGCGGGAGTGGGAGCGAGTCTCTCCGCAACTGGGCAAAGGGAGCAAGTTTGTCTTCACTTTCTGTTTGCCAACTGCCTGCCCCCGCCCTCTGGGCCACAGGGCTCCTCCCAAGGTGTCTCGTGGGGCTGGCCATGGGCTCCCAAGTGCTGCTTCAGCCCCACCCATTCCCGAAGCGCCTCCCTGGCACCTCTTGGCCAAGGCGCTGTCCCTGGTGCTGGATTCTCCTCCCGCCCGGGCTGTGTGCCCGCGGGACGCTCCAGGTGGAGACGGGCCCTTGTTTGGAAGCAGCATGTGAGCACGTGAGGAAGCTGGAAACTTAGGGGATAGGGGCGGTGGGGGGGGGGACTTCTAGGACACGGTGACCCTCCGTGCCGTGCATTGCGTGTGTTCACTGCATGTGTCTGTGAGAGATGGTGTGTGTGGTGGCATGTGAGATTTGTGTGACTGTGCGTGGTTGTGTGAGTGTGACTGCATGTGTGTGATCAAGCGTGATTGTGATCGCGCGTGTGTGTGTGTACAGGGCAGGTGTCAGGCAGGCTTTGTGCCGACCCGCCTCCTTTCTCTCATGGTGGCATGGGCTGTCCCTGCACTGTGTCCCTTCAGGCAGGCCTGGGCGGCCCCTTTCTAACAGTCCCCCAGAGCAGGTCCCCCGCAGGGACCCTGACTCCCCTCCGTGACCCGTTTCTCCAGGTCGGACTCGCAATGTCTCTCCCCTCCCTCCTTCCTGTTCATCTTTGCTGTTTTGGGCATTGAACCTGGGATCTCACCTGCCAGCCGTGTGCTGTGACCCTGGGATCGTCACCTTTGCCCAGTTGTGGCCATTTCTGACCTGTTTCCTTCCTGTGGTCTCCCTGTTCTATCACGCTGGAGTCTTCTGCTGGGGTGCCCTCCCCCCGCATCCAGTACCTGATTTTTACTTGTGACCCCCTTGGAATATTCCAAGGGCTCTAGCCCTTCACACTATCTCTAGACCACCCCCTCCATCCCTCCCCCCTTTCTTTCCTGCACTGCCTCTCTCCCTTCCTCTCCCCTGTTCTACTTAAAGTCAAGGTGCTGGGGAGGCAGCACCGTGGGTGGTGTGCTTGCCTTGCACACAAGCAACCTGGGTTCAATCCCTGGCATCCTATATGGCCCTCTTAGCCTTGCCAGGAATGGTTCCTGAGCACAGAGCCAGGAGGAAGCCCTGAGCACGGCTGGGTGTGGCCCCAAAAACCCCAAATAAATAAGCAAGTGAATAAAATAGATGGGGTGGGGATTAGTAGTCAGCGATCCATAGCCAGGTCTGCCACCTGTTCATGTAACAAATAAAGTTTTATTGGAACACCTACAGGTGTACACGTACACGCAGGCCCTTGCTGCTGTGTGTGGGGGCCACGGAGGGGAGTAGGGCACGTGGCCAGCAGTGCCACTGCCACAAGGGCCTTCTGCTAGTCGACCCCACCAGGTGTGGGTGAGTGTGTGAGTGCTGGTGGCAGAGCTGTTCCTGCTGTGGCTGAGGACGTGGGTGCCCCTTGCTCTGCCCTGCGTGGCCACCTCTGTCCAGAGCCTCCTTCCACTCAGGGCACGGGAGTCGTGTCTTCCCAGGTATCCCGTGACACACAGGCTCCTGCGTGGGCAGCTGGACTGTCCCACACCCAGTCTCCTTCCTCAGCCGGCTGCTAGGGGCGCGCGGACACTCGGGGCTACTGGCTGGTGCTGCCCCTGGCAAGGCCGTGCAGCCAGCCGGGTGGGAGGGCAGAGGCCCCGCCATCGGCCGTCCCACCCTGTGATTTCTCGGCTCCTTCAGCTTCGTCAGATGACGGATGTGGAGATCTGGACTTTTCCAGGCCAGCCCGTTTCATGGCACAAAATGGGCCTCTTGGCTCCCGCTGCTCCCTTTCTGGCAGCTGCCCTGTCCTGGTTTGCTGATGAAGCACCCCCATCCCCCACCCCAGAGCTCTTGGCTTCATGGGCTGCAGGTTCCATGGCACCCAGACACCACGGCGTCCGACTCCCCTTGAGCATAGTTGTACTCCTGAACTGGGACGTCTGTGGCCTGTCACTGGGGGCCTTCCCTGGCAGAGCGGCCTTTGACCTGGGCTGGCCTTCTTCCTCCTGCAGCTCTCCCCGCTGGTGATTCATGGGGGGTTCCAGAGTGAGGGCCCCGGACCCGCGGGCAGCCTGGCGGCCGGGCTTCCCACGCTCGGGGAGCACCCAGGGCTCCTGTTAGGGTGCTGCAGTGGAGACCAGATGGGGCGGCTCACCCCGCAACAGTCCATTTCTCGCCACCCGGAAGTTGGGGATGGGGCTCTGCAGGTGGGGTCTCGGAGGGCTCCATTCCTGGCGTGACAGTCTCTCAGAACCCAGCTCCCCCTCACCCCCACTCCCTCTGCTAACTGCCCTAATTCCCCCTTGAGGTCCACCTCCAGATACTGTCACCTGCATGGGGGGGGGGGGAACCACACACGTTCCCAGGGCAGCAGTGGCAGCTCATACTGGACAGACAGCACACACACAACAGACACAGGCCTCCTGGGGCCAGTGCGGAGGAAGTGAGCTCCCAGTAGAGCAGCCTGTGTGCCGAGCTGGAGCACGCAGGAGGTCCTGCCATAGCCCTCCCCTGGGGGACGGCTCCCTGCTATTTCCTCGGGGCTGCGTGGAGTCACTGGCCCCCCCTCGTTTTCTGGCCTTGTAGGACCCTGACTGGCTCTGCCAACGTGCCAGAACGTGGACCTTAGTTTTTGCCTTGCCCACCACCCCGGGACCCCCAGGTTTCCTTCTGGATGACAGAAGGCATCAAAAGCAAACTTC